AAGTAGAATTAAAAGATAATATATTTTGTCCCATGAACTTTGAAGGCCCCTCATATATTTCCTAACATGAAATATTGGTTACCAAAGATCTCTTCATTTTCTTCGAACACTTACTTTACTAATACTGACTTTCTAATGACTGTTGTGGACAGTACAGACAGAGGGTTTCTGGATCTAGATAAGAACTATATTAACCATTAACACGTGAGCACCTAGGGAAAGCTTGATTGCTGTGTTTTTTAAGTAAAAAAAAATATTTTGAGTAAATGAATAACTGTAGCAGAAACCTCCCCAGTTTCTGAAAATGTCTATTAAAGACCAACTGTGTCCTGTAATGTTGTGCTCTTAGTGGCAGAAGGACTACCCTAAGGACTTAAATGGGCTATGCCACCATTTAAGATTAGCTAATATCTATAGTACTTTTCTTGTACATTTTGTATTAATAAAGCGCTATCCTTTACCTGGGAGATCAAAAGTGAATGACAAGATCTACTTATAGTCAATAATTTCAATATTTTCTGTAAGAAGAAAAAGTAAGGACACATGCACAAAAAAAGATGAGGTTTTGCCTTTAATTTACTTTCTCATGTACTCTGTCCAAAGTAAGCTTGTGAAGGCCTGAGTTACAATTTTCATAGAATGAATCTTCTCTGGACATTGGTACATACAAAAAGAGAGGAACACATTGTTTACTTCAGGATGTTTGTTATGGATGCAATCACCTCTAGTTGAACGTTTTTCTCTTCTTGCCCATTTAAACAAAATAAAAATGTATACACTCATTTTCAAATATTTTTAAATGCAGTGTAACTCAGAATATGTTGTATCAGGCTATGCATGCATTCTGCCCATACCTAGAGGTAAGGGTAATGTTTTGTTTTATATTTTTTAAAAAGTTGAATAACACACAAATTAATAACACTCTTAGTTATAACCACAATGAGATAAATACTCACATTTGGTGATGTTCCATTTTATATTTTTCCTCTTTGTTTATTTTCCCCCACACTTGCAAATGTTTATTAAAAACCAAACCTGTTTATACATGTCTCTCTGATCAGGTGGATGACTACAGACAAGTTCTCTCCATCTTAGTCTTGTCAGTTCTTTCCAAAAAAGGTCCAATATAAAAGTGACTCTTCAGGAGATCTGTTGGGCCAGTTTCATCCAAGTTAGAAAGGTCAAGTCAGAAATGTATGGTGAATATCTTTTAGGATTTCAAAGGGGAACTCTTGATTAATTATCCCAATGCACACAGGGTGACCACTGTAGCTTACTATGAGAAAAAGCCCAGAAAGTTGCACTGAGAACATTTTTTTTCTGTATGCACTCATTTATTGTAAGACTGCCTATGATAATCTCATTAGGAAACATTACCCTATCCACCCACTAGCCCTGAAATAGAGGAAAGAACTAGGATGCAACGGACATTTATAAAGATCTAAATACAGGCATATACAGATGTAAATACATTTATATATGATGAGGGAGAAATAGATCTATGGACACATATTTATAGGTTTAGTATTAAGGAAACAGATGGACAGTGGGCCCTCAACACAAGAACACTTTGTTCTAACAATTCGACAGTCTGAGATGGTCACCTTCCTGACAGAATCGCTGAAGACAAGTGCACAAGCAAATGTGGTGAGGTAATCTGATGGTGCGCAGCTATCAAAAGATATAGCTTCTGGGGTCTTAAAGGCCTGAAGATAAACAAGCGGCCATCTAGCTGAAAAACAAGAAAACCCACATGGAAGAAGCACACCAGCCTATCTATCCCAACACGATCACTGAAAACAAAGTGGGTGCATAAGCAAATGTGGTGAAGAACGCTGATGGTGCCTGGCTATCAAAAGATATAGAGTCTGTGGTTCTTTAGGCTTGAATATAAATAAGCGGCCATCTGACTGAGAAACAACAAAGCCCACATGGAAGAAGAACACCAGCCTGTTGAGATCACGAGGCTTCGAGGGGATCGGGTATCAGGCATCAAAGACCAAAAAAATCATAGCATTGTGAATGAGGGGAGTAAAGAGTGGGGACCCAGGGCCCATCTGTGGGAAATTGGACATACCCTTGCAGAAGGGTCCCAGGGAGGAGACGAGCCAGTCAGGGTGCAGTGTAGCAATGATGAAACATACAATTTCCCTCTAGTTTTGAATGCTTCCTCCCCCCCACTATCATGATCCCAATTCTACCTTACAAATCTGGCTGGACTAGAGGATGTACACTGGTACACATAGGAACTGGAAACACAGGGAATCCAGCACAGATGAATCCCTCAGGACCAGTGGTGAGAGTGGTGATACCAGGAGGGTAGAGGGAAAGTGAGGGAGAAAGAGGGAACCGATTACAAGGATCTACATATAACCTCCTCCCTGTGGGATGGACAGAGGAGAAGTGGGTGAAGGAAGACATCGTATGGTGTAAGATATGACACAATAATGATAATTTATAAATTATCAAGTGTTCATGTGGGTGGAGGGAATTGGGAGGGAGTGGAAATCGTGAGCTGATACCAAGGGCTCAAGTAGAAAGCAAAAGTTTTGAGGATGATGAGGGAAGAAAATGTACAAAAGTACTTGACACAATGGGTGTATATGTGGATTGTGATAAGAGCTGTACAAGACCCCAATAAAATGATTTAATTATGTTTAAAAATGCAAAATAAATAAATAAAAATGAATGGATGAATGAATAAATAAATAAGACTATTTTAGTCCCTTAAGAGTGCTCAAACCATAGTAGCATAGTGGTTACGAGTTGGGCTGCAATCTATAAGATCTACAGTTAGTAACTACCAGTTTCTCTTCAGAAGCCAGGGCTTTATCCTCCTGTACACAGTTACAGTCTTGGAAACATATAGGAGCAATTTCACCCTGTTCTACAAGGTTATTAAGATTTGTCAGCAACATGATGACAGTGAGTTAAGGGTGTCAAAGCTGCCATTTTGATAAAGGTATAAAGCAAATGATCCATTCTTCTTAGGATCCTCTATGTTTTCCTATTGCAATAACCAATTCCTAAATCACAGAACTGCTCTGTAAAAGGGAAAGAAAAAAATTACAGTGTGTGCAATTTTTTGGCTCTTGATCAAATCACACATATGTAATGCAATGGTGTAAAATATTGAAATGAAGTGTAATTACTTCATATAGCTCTCCTATCCATAGCCTTTGTAATTCTCATCCAGTCACTGTTTGGGAGTCTGCCAATACGGTATGGAGGACAGAGTGATTGATAAGTTTTGCTATTTCAGTGAGTATAAAAGTGCCCCACGTTGGAAACCAGAACAGGCAATCCTGCAACCATCAAGAGAGAAGAGTCACCAGTAGGGCAGGTGAGAGATTCTTACCTAAACTGATGGAGATAACACAGGCATCAGAGTCCTCAGCACCAAAACCATGAGACAGAGCTAGGCCCGTGGAATGAAGCAGAAGCTAAGGGGTTGAGAGGCTGAGGACCAGGGCAGAGGGTGCAGTTCCTGGCATGGTTAAGAAGTGCTGCTGTGGACCCCCTCCCTGCAAAAACAGAAAACCAATAACAACAGAAAAAACCCAAGCAACAGTATCCACACTGCTTACCGATCCTGACTTGGATAAACCTATTTACTGTACACAGTGCGGTCCCTGTGGACATTGCAATGGATTGTCAAACTTAGAAGAGATGGAGCGTGCCCTGGAAGGGAGGACTGGTGTCACAACAGGCTAAGGAAGTTAGAGGGTGGAGGCAGGTCTGACCTTTGCTTGCGGAAGTTGACCTTGGCCTGGTATGGAGTTGAATTCTCCTTTCCCATTGTGTAGCCAGAGGAGGTCAGGTGTGGCACCTGAGCCATATTTTTTTAAACATAGATAATATCTACAAGAACCTCCATAATTTTCAGTCCTGGTCACAAATTTCACCAGAAAAAATCCCCACATAAACACATAGTTTCAATGGTTTATTTTCTGATAACTAAGCACTACCAGACTCATCCATGACTCCTCTACCAGGTCTTACATCCCTATTTTACAAATGCAGTAATAGGTAGCCTTCTTATAATACTGAATGTGAGTGTAGGAGGCAGAATTCATGTGTAATAATGTCACGAGGCATATTTGGTGTATACATATATGCGTTATGCCAGAACTTTTTGCATACATTTGTCCTTTCTACCTGTTATATGTGTGTGCACATTATATACTTGGATTGATATTTGCCCCAAATATGGTATATACAAAGGTTACCACTTATGCTAATCAAATCAAATCATTGTTTAGAATGTTGTCCCTGTCCAATATGTAGTCTCAATGGCTAACATCAATTATAGAATCCAAGTATAAAATAACATCATTACTTGATTGTGAAAGGCACATTCCTAATGGCATTTTACTTAGCACAGGCATTTTTAGAACCATAATCAGCACTTTAAAAATATTTGTACGTAGAATGTTCTGTTCTGGGTGGAAAGAACATTGGAAACAAGGATATTCATGGAGAAATTAAAAGTCAAAAGTCCCTATGTGTGAAGTAAAAAAGAAATAACTGAAAGAGAGGCTTAGGAGGTAAATGGCCACCAAGGTTGAGGAGATCTATCGACACACAGGAGAACAGCTATGGTCTCAGACTCTTAAAGAGTTTTGAGATTGAACACATTCTCTCACTATCCCTTTAGTCAAACCGTCAGAGAGCAAGTTACAACATGACTGGGAGGAGGAAGGACTTCAGTATCTGACTGCAAAAAAACCGTGTCTGGCAGGCAGACAAGTGAGAGCTGTTGAATCTTTCCTAGAACTGTTTCTTCTCAAGGTAAGTTCTCAATCAATAACATGGTGTATATGAATTGTAGTGGCATTTCCAAGTTCCTTCGTGTTCTAACATTCTATTTCGTTCTATTATCAGAAAAAAAAATCTTGAAGTGTTCCTACAGAGGACTTGAGTAACTTGAGAGGAAAATCCAGCACATGTACAAGAGATTATTCCATGAGGCGAATGCAGAGCAAGGCGAGCTACCGATTAGCTTGAAGAATAAGTTGATCCTGAATCTCTGAACGTAGATACAGTGAAGTATGGACCAACTGGGTGAACATAACACCAGGTAAGCATGGGTTGTCAAGATTTAATGAAATATTGAAGATTAACCCCAGTAATGTTGCTAGCATGCTCTGCACTGTTGTGAAGGACTCTCATGACTACTGTTGTCCAGGCTGTCAAAGAACCTGTGTGTTTTCATACTTGTTGAACTATAACCTTAAGATACACAATCTATACAGAAGTCATGGTCTCCTCCTTTTCAGATTTTAAATTTCAGGAAAAGACTTGATAATTTAAGAAACTAGGTACACATTTGGTGATTTATAGTAAATTTAAAAAGGTGTGGGTACAGTCATGTTTAATACTGAACCCCAATTTGATTTGTAGGGGACCAGTGAAGATGTGCTCAGAGTTTCTAATTTGTGGTTGGGTTGGGTTGATGGATGCAATCTTCCAGTTAAAGGAAGGGAGGAGACAAGGGGAAGGAAATTTATCCCTCCAGCTGTGTCCAGGAATGAGGGTCTTGGACTGATTATGTCCCTTGACATGGATCACTGCACTTCTCCATCCCGTTCTTGCTACACAGATTTCTCGTTCCCTCCTCTCCCCTGGCCTGGGTGTTATTAGCTCTGGGGTGCTATAATGTCTTGGTAAATTTCTCCCAAATGTGGCCAGGTCTTTATATTATTTACAGGTAAGCTTTGCTTTAATTGTCCTAGGGGCGCTGGTGGTGTACTGATTACACATTGGGCTGTTAACTGCAAGGTCAGCAGTTCAAAACCACCAGTCACTCCGGGGGAGAATGGTGGGGTTTTAAACTCCTATTTAAAAGTTAGTCTCAGAAACCCGCAGGAGCAGCTCTACGTTGTCCTATTGGGTAGAAATGAATTGGCTTCAACTCAATGGCAGTGTTTGTTTGTTTTGTGTTTGATTTATTTCTTCTATTTTGAACATGTCATTTGTTTTTGCCTGGGTCCCCTGACTGATATAGAGGCTTTGTTGAGAGTATATGACCTGGGAGTAGGGAGATGAATAGGGGCTTTCTGGGCACAGAGAGGGAGGGAGGGAAGGAGAGAGAGAGAGAGCTGTTGTGGAGGCACAGGAAGCAGATTAGGAGGGAAAGACATTGATAATGCAGGAAGACCATATACATAGCCTTCAACACAGGCGTGAGACAGGTACCTTTTACAAAACATATAAAAGTTAGAATGACTGCAGCCTACAGAGCTCAGCCTTATGATGTCAAAGAGTAGACCCGGTCAGGACTTTGATGCCTCAGAAGAAGAGGTACCTTTATGAATGACCATGAGCCAGCATTGAATCCATTGAGTTTGGAGTTTAGTTATCTCTAGAAAACAAGGGATGTGATGTTCCCATTTTTCAACCCTGAGAGACAAAATAGACTCACTTTGAGAGCGCTACAAATAAAATATCTTTGGGGAAAGTAATTTCACTTTAAGAGGAGAGGTAGAGAATGTTAGAGAGGATAGCTACTTTTGATGCCAGAGTTCTAGAACAGGGGCAGTTAGTAGCCAATGCAGTTGGGAGCAGTGTGACGATACATGGACAGGAGATGAGCGCTCTCTCAGTGCTCCATATTTGGATGATTATTGGGAACTATGGATAGGTAAGGAATGGTAGACATTGTACTGACCTAGGTTAGACTTGGGAGAAGGAGAAGTGTTGAAGATTGTCAAGGGCAGGGATATCAAGTCGTTGAACCATCAGGCAAGGAACTAGGTATATCGCTTTAAAGGAAATGGATAAATAGTATTTTGCTTTGTCATTTGGACTACTTCAACATGTGCTAGAAAGCCAGGTGGAATTATGAATGGCTTGGTAACCTGGGAAAGCAGCGATCCAATGAGCTTTCAAAATCTATTCGTTGGGGAGTCATACTATTAGTAATTCTCATGCAAACCCACAGTGCCTTGAGACTGAAACAGCTACCCTTTAGCAGTCACCATGTGTCAAGCTAGACTATTTAGAATAACAAGCACATTTGATCTATTTTGTTGGAATACCGTTTCCCATAGCCATGTACTTAATCAGAAAGTCAGTATACTGTTCAATAATTTGATCAATTGTTTTTCCATAAGATCAAGACAAATTCAATAACTTTCCAGCAGTACTAGTTTAAGTCATAAGTGTAGTGTAACCCAATTGTCTATCTGACTCCAAACAGCACAATCTCATATGATTCCTCTGCTTTTTTAGTTTGATACTAATTTATGGGTTTCCTGTGCTAATTTTTTTAATGTAATCAAATATATTCATGTTTCCCTAGGTGATTATAGCTATTCTTAAATTCTAAGTATTTTGCTGTCATTTACTTTCAATTTTTTGTCACTAATTTTCTGATACTTCTGGGATTTTTTTCTATTATGTATTTTATAGTGAGATCAATTTGATATTTTGCTAAAATGTTGAAAATTGTCTTAAACGGTGTTCATGTAATGATCAATATTTTCAGCCTTGTTTCCTGGTGTTTTCGTTGAACTTCTGGACTCTCTAGCTCAGCTACACAAAATTTCATTCATTTGTTATCTATTCTTCAGCTAGTTGATTACCCTGTAATTATTGTAGCTTTATGTTATGTTGTCGGATAGCAATAGTTTCTGTTGTTCTCTGTGAAACTGTATTGATTCTTCTTACAGTTGAATCTTAGAATAGGTCTGACAGCTCACAGGGGGAAAATCTAGCTCAAATTTTACTGTTGATTGTATTAAATGGATATTATTATTTTGGAAAAAGTTGTCAGCCTTATAATATTGTTTCTTGCCAGGGGTCATGTTTTCAAGTTGTCCTTTATGTCTATCAATAATATGCTTTAATTTTTTTAAAGTCCCATCTGTTTAAAAACTAAAAAAAACACCCCAAAATGGAAAACGTAGGGGCAAGGGAAGAGATCCCTGGGCTAGGGGCCTGGGAAGCCCAGCTCATGGCACCAGGCCCAGCCGTAGGGCCCCCCAGGTATTGCTGTTGCTATGAGGTCGGGGGTGGGGGGGCAGCGATTGTCTTGTGGGAGCCACCGTTCACTTGGGTCAGGGACTCACACTTCTACTGGGGGTGCTCAACTTCTGCATGCCCAGGATCTTGTCCAGCAGGCCAGAGATGAAGGCCTCAGTGGGTTTGTAATAGTCAACCAGCAGCTCCTTGACCCTAGCTGCGCCAGTGTCCTCACACTCCACTTCTAGCAGCTCATCTACATCAATCTCCAGCTCCGTGATCTCCTTCTCCGACAGTCATAGAAGCGTGGGAACTGCTCCAGGATCCACTCCTCCAGGTTGAGATGCTTCCATAGCTCCTTGAGGCTGTAATTTACTGTGAGCTTGCCTTGGCGCCCCACTGGGTCGTTTTCTTCCTGGCCTCCCAGGCCCTTGCCTGAGGCCCCAGGAGGGCTCTGAAAGTAGACTGGACTCAAGGCCCTGGGCTGCCACTGCCCGGTTGGTCCAGGCACCAGAACTGCCAACACCGCCCTCCGCCCCCTGCGGGGCCGCTGTCTCCTAGGGTGACCTCCAGGGCCAAGTGAGCAAGCCAGGCCCCTCCCTGAGCCCCTGTGGGTTAGTTAGCTCCAGGGCTTGGGTCAGCACTACTCAGGGTCTCAGGCAGTGGCGGGAGTATCTGGAGGCAGCTGCAGCATGCAGAGCCCTGGGCCTGGCCTCAACATGCTTTAATTTTTGTTAGGATGCTCTTCCCTTTGTGTCTTCCAAAGGTGTTCATTTTGTCATTGTCTTGTCCACTGAGAATAGTATTATTATAGGAATATTTTTTATTGTTTCTGTAAAAGTTACAGAGATAAACGTACTGAAGGATAAGTTATTTCTTCCTGTGTCTACTGGAAACCTCCAAGAATAATCAAACAAAGCATTTCTGTGCACTTTAGCTCACTATAATGCTGAATATATTTCAGTGATTCATTGACTTTGGGGGAAATATTTTATCTTCTCTTTGCATCAGTGATTGCACTTTTATACAAATACACTGTGGAGTTCACAAGAACGTGGGTAAAATATTTAGAGCAGCAGAACATCTTTTTGACATTAACAGACTTACTATAATATTAACAGACTTAATATAACCTTGGTGGGACAGCAATATGTCTTTGTTGGCAAGGGTGTAAGATTATTATTTATTTTTTAGAGAGTATCTTCTGCTTATGCAGCTGCTACGTCTAGGGGGAGGTTGTGGATACAAAAGTCAGGCTCACATATTTCATTACATTGTAGTTTCCGTGTACATTGGCCAGAAAATAGTGGGGGGGGGGAAACAAACATGTAAGTAATCGTAATGTAGTATGTGGCTAAGAATTTTTTTAAAAATCATTTTACTGAAGGCCCATACAACTCTTATCACAATCCATACATACATCCATTGTGTCAAGCACATTTGTACATTTATTGCCATATCATTCTCAAAACATTTGTTTTCTACTTGAGCCCTTGGTACCAGCTCATTTTTCCCTCCCTCCCCACTTCCCCCTCCCTAATGAACCCTTGAAAATGTATAAATTATTATTATTTTATCATATCTTATACTGCCTGACGTCTCCCTTCACCCACTTTTCTGTTGTTTATCCTTCAGGGAGAAGGTTATATGTAGATCCTTGTAATCAGTTCCCCCTTTCCACCTCATCTGCCCTCCACCCTCCCGGTATCGCCACTCTCATCACTGGTCCTGAAGGGATCATCTGTCCTGGATTCTCTGTTTCCAGTTCCTATTTGTATGAGTGAACATCCTCAGGTCTAGCCAGATTTATAAGGTAGAATTGGGATCATGGTAGTGGGGGTGTTTTGCATTTAAGAACTAGAGGAAAGTTGTGTGTTTCATCGATGCTACACTGCACCCTGACTGACTTGTCTCCTGCCTGCAACCCCTCTGTGAAGAGATGTCCAGTTGCTTACAGATGAGCCTTGGGGGCCCAATCTGCACTCCTCCTCATTCACAATGATATGATTTTTTGTTCTTTGATGCCTGATACCTGATACTTTGAACACCTTGTGATCACATGGGCTGCTGTGCTTCTTCCATGTGGGCTTTGTTGTTTCTGGGCTGGATGGCCAC